AAATATATTAAACTTTCCGGAAAATAAATATATTAAACTTTCCGGAAAATAAATATATTAAACTTTCCGGAAAATAAATACATTAAACTTTCCGGAAAATAAATATATTAAACTTTCCGGAAAATAAATATATTAAACTTTCCGGAAAATAAATATATTAAACTTTCCGGAAAATAAATATATTAAACTTTCCGGAAAATAAATATATTAAACTTTCCGGAAAATAAATATATTAAACTTTCCGGAAAATAAATATATTAAACTTTCCGGAAAATAAATATATTAAACTTTCCGGAAAATAAATATATTAAACTTTCCGGAAAATAAATATATTAAACTTTCCGGAAAATAAATATATTAAACTTTCCGGAAAATAAATATATTAAACTTTCCGGAAAATAAATATATTAAACTTTCCGGAAAATAAATATATTAAACTTTCCGGAAAATAAATACATTAAACTTTCCGGAAAATAAATATATTAAACTTTCCGGAAAATAAATATATTAAACTTTCCGGAAAATAAATATATTAAACTTTCCGGAAAATAAATATATTAAACTTTCCGGAAAATAAATATATTAAACTTTCCGGAAAATAAATATATTAAACTTTCCGGAAAATAAATATATTAAACTTTCCGGAAAATAAATATATTAAACTTTCCGGAAAATAAATATATTAAACTTTCCGGAAAATAAATATATTAAACTTTCCGGAAAATAAATATATTAAACTTTCCGGAAAATAAATATATTAAACTTTCCGGAAAATAAATATATTAAACTTTCCGGAAAATAAATATATTAAACTTTCCGGAAAACAAATATAACAACTTTTTGGAAAAAAAGCAAACTTTCCTAGTAATATCCGGAATAATTAGTAGTAATTAATCCTTAATAAAATTTTAATTCAAATGTTTTTAAATTTTAAAAAGAAATAAAGAATATAAAAATAATTCTATATTTAAAATGAATAAAAGTAAAAGTTCTCCATAATGCAAAGAGTAAAAGTAACTTAAAATAATTATGTTTTACAAAGAAATTAAACAAAAAATTGACCTAAAATTAATAAATACTCAAAATATTTTATGTTTTCAAATAAACTTGATAGAGAAATTAATAAATAATACAATTAAATCTTCCAAACCCCCCCCCCCCCCCCCCAACTAATTATGAAGATGACTGGCCGCAACCATCGGCACAGTGATAAAATGAACTTTAAAACTTGTTTTTATACTATAATTTTGTGTAAATAAACTTTAATTAAACTTGGGAGATCAAATCACCTATAAAAATCACCACAAATTCTGATTAGATATCAACAGTCTACTCAACCTACTCAAAGTGCTACTCCACCTACAGCTTCAACATCAGCAATATGGCCACAGTCTGGACCGCTCCTGTTGTGTTCGACTCCTTGGCAGACAGCGAATTGGTACTCTCACAATTCAAGGATAGGAACCTCTGGTCGTGTGATGGAACGTATCCGGCTGTCAATAACGACCCTTCGTTGCGTGCTCAGGCCGTCAAGTGCAAGGTGTACGTCTACAGGTCAGAAAAATTTTTATTTGACTAAAAATATCTTAATCTAACTAAAATTAAACAACTTTTTCCAAATTTAGTTGCAAAGTCCGCGGATGTCACGCTCGCGCCAATATACTGAAGGTCACCAAGGTCAACGATGGAGGATTCATCCGCGCGTACCTCTACCTGTCTGCCAACGAGCATCGGGCCCATATTAGACGTTCTGCCAGCGATGTGATGAACTTTGCGCAAGGCCTGCAAGCAATGCCACGATAGATGGAGTGCCCTGGCTATAGGGATGATGAGCCCTTTCTAAAGGGATGAAGAATAGGAATAATATAAATAGGACAATTCTTTTTTTTGTACTTGCTTGTATTGTAAATATTATATTTCACTTTGCCTTTCTTGTATTGTATTTGCTTGTTTTCTTGTAAATAAATTTTGAAAAAGTTGAAGAGGGTTTTAAAAATTAGGGAATTTCTCTGAGCTTTTTCTCCTTTCCCTTTGTCGTTTTCATCCTAGACTTTGAAGAATTTTTAGCTTTAAAAGCCTTCCCTTCCCAATTTTTCAAGCTTATAAAAAGCTCAAGTTTTTGCCAGCTGGAGTTTTGTCCTCCCTTAAAATCAACTTTTCCCTCAAAACCTCAAAAAAAGCCTTTGAAAAGGTGAAAAAAATTGGAAAACTTCAAAAAATTTTTCCTCAATCTCCTAAATAATGGAGAATAAAATATTCCATTAATTTCATAAAAATCCATTTCCCTAAAATAAATATGGAAGGAGAAAAAAATGGAAAAAATGGAAATGAAAAAAGAAAAATCGCAAAGCGAAAAAAGATTTCATTTTAAAGAGTAAAGATGAAACTTGAAACTAGTGCGGTAAAATAAAACTTAAATGAATAAAACTTGGTAATACTTTCTAGTAAAAATAATAATTACAACTTTCGCCTTTTATACTGAAAAAAGTTTACTAATTTATTTAAGTTTTCCGGAAAGTATAATATACTAGTAGGAAAGTTTATTATGTGTTTTCCGGAAAGTTTGTTCTATTTATTTTTCCGGAAAGTTTATTATATTCCGGAAGATTTCTATATTTGCTTTCAGGAAAAAAATCATTAATTTTTCCGTAGTTTATTTCCGGAAGGTTTTTAATAGACGAAATATGTATCAATTCTGCCTGATTTTTCCAAATAAATAAAATGCGTATTATTTTCTGAAAAGTTAGTTCAGAAAATCTGAACAAAAAATTAATTCAGAATAGGCAGTATAAAATCTATTACATAATAGGTATTATCCCCAGACCTTCAAAATTAGCGGATATCTCTTACTCATAATATTTCAATAGTTTGATTTTTCTTATTTTTAAAATTTATTTCTTAATGAAAAATTGAAGACTAATTTATTTCTGAATAGATTTTTTTTCGCAATAAAAAAATTTATTTTAATTCCTTTAAAAAAGTATAAAATTTATAATAAAGATTAGTGAATTTCACTGCAAAAATCATTAGTGAAAAATAACAACTTTAAATAATTGTCAACACTTCTCATCAAAAAAATAATTACTTTTTACTGAAAAAAGTTAATAATTTATTTATGTTTACCGTGATGTATTAAGTTTATTATATTTATTTTCCGGAAAGTTTGTTCTATTTATTTTTCGGAAGGTTTGCTATATTTGTTTTCCGGAAAGTTTTATATATTATTTTCCGGAAAATAAATATATAAAACTTTCCGGAATATAAATATATACTTTCCGGAAAACAAATATAGCAAACCTTCCGGAAAGTTTTATATTTTATTTTCCGGAAAGTTTAATATATTTATTTTTCGGAAGGGTTGCTATATTCGTTTTCCGGAAAATTGTTAAAAATAGTATTCTCAAAGTTTAATCCCAGTAAGTTTTAAATAGATAAAATACATTTTTGCCCCGATCTTTCCACATAAATAAAATGTTTCGTTCCAACAATCTAAAAAAATTAATTCAGACCGGGCAGTATAAAAGCCATAATAAAAAAAATCAGTATTCTTCCCCAAATTCTTCCTAAATTAATTTATGTGTATCGAGATATTTATTTTTTACTTGATTCAGTGAATCTCCAGTTTGCAAAAGTTTGGGTAGCAAACAGACTGATCAAGAACATAGAAAACCCCTCGAAAAAAGCAAAAAAAATCTAAAAACCTCAAAAATTCAATTTTCACTTTAGATAATGAAAGGAAAAAGGGGAAATGGAAGGGAAAGAAAAAACAAAAAAAAAAAAAGAAAATTAAATTAAAAGAGAAAAAAATCAAAATTTGACTAGCTAAAATATGAAACAAAAATAAAAACTATAAATAAAAAGCCTGTTCATCGAAAAATTAAACTTTAAAGAGTTTATTCAAAAAGTTAATAATTTATGTTTTCCGGAAAGTTAGTATCAGGAAAGTTTGTTTTCCGGAAAGTTTAACAGGTAATTCTTGTATTACCACCAGAGGCAACTATTAAACGAAAATTAATTTTAATCATTTCAAATTTTTCTTTTAAACTTTGATCACGTCTTTTGGTGATGTTTTTAAATTTAAATTATGAGAGTTAATGCTATAAAGGGAAAATAATTTTACTACACTGAAAGAAAATAAAGATTAAATGTGTAAAACAAAACTTTACAATAACAAAAAAAGTTTTTTTGGTAAAAAATATTTTTGCAATTCTTTCAATCAATTAAAAATTGTCATACACTCGCATTGATCTTGTGCCTATTGCTTCTGCATTACCACCAGAGGCAACTTTTAAATAAAAATTAATTTAAAATATGTAAAAGAATTTAAATTTAAAAAACTAAAAGAGACAAAAATTTGAAAGGAAAAAACTTTAATTGTTTAGAAAGAATGAAACTAGAATCAGAAATATTGATCCTACAAAAAACTAAAATCGGCCTTACTGAGAAATTTGCACTTACTGATCGTGAGTCTGTCTATAAACTTGTTTTCAACGATGTTTGAGGATTTTTCGAAAACTCATATTTGACAGTCGAAAAATATTAAAAATCACACCTCTTCCTCGTCCAGAAACTGACATTCCCCTTCCACGTTCCGGAGGCAAACCCCTTGCATTTCCAGGAGGCAAACCTCTTCCATTTCCTGGAGGGATTCCCCTCCCAATTCCAGGAGTTGACATTCCCATTCCTCCTCTTCCTCGTTCAGCAGGCATTCCTCTATCATTTGCTGACAAATCCGGTGGTTGATCATTATTCATTCCCATTTTCTTAGCCCTCTTTTTAGCAGGAAAAATAACTTCTGAAGGAACTCCTGGACCTTCTAGCGCCAACAATTTTGCCATTTTATTTCCGTTGATTTGTCTAAGAGAATAACGAGCACTAGCAAAAAGTTGTTGGCGTTCCAAAGGAGTTATTGATGCTAAAACATCTGTTGGCAATTTTTCACATGGATCCAATAATTTTGATCCAGCTTTAAAAAACAAAAATATACATTTTGGAATCTTTCAAAATTTCTTACGTGACAAAATAATTTCTTCAGAAATTGCACTAAACAAAGCTTTTAATGCTCCACTCGGTCCAGGCTGTTGTTCTGATGTATTTGAAGAGAAAACTTTTTCAACAATTAAAATAATTACCTAAATTAAATATAAAAATAATTTAAAAAATCTTTTAAAAAACAAACCCAATCACTTAAAGGACTCCAAGCTGGAATTCTATTAGAAAATTCTCTAACGATTTTTACAACTCCAGTCATCCATTCATATTGAGCACATTTAACCTAAAAAATAATTTAGATATAAATTCAATAAAAATTAAAATTTACCTGATAAAATTTAGTTCGTCTCATTTCTGCCAAAGCTTGAAGACAAGCATCCTGTGGCAATGCATTTTGTGGAATATTATAAGAATAATAATTTAAATCTTAAAATTTTGCAATTAATTTAGAAAAGAATTAAAAGGACAAAAGAAACCTCCAGGAGACCATTGACGAATAGTTGAACAAGTAAAAGAAACACAAATATACATAGGAATTCCTGCCTGAGATACCGAAAAACCAGCTTCTCTAACGTTTTCTTCAACAGATATTTTTCCTTTATGGGTTAGAGTTTGTTCGCCTTTCTAAAATAAATGAGAGGAATTTTAAAAAAAAAAGAATATTTAAAAACAACCTTAACATAATGAGTAAACAGTTCAGTTACTTGACTAAGCATATCAGTTGTTGGAATTGAAGAACAGAGAACAATTAGATGGGCCTGAGTAATAAAAATATTTTATACAGATATTTAAGTTAATAAAAATTAGGGATAAATTCTGTTAAGAAAATTGAGAAGGGAAAAAGGAAGAATGACAAGTGCTTAGAAATTTCAAATCTTCTCTTACTTCGCAACAGCCTATTCTATGCTCGTACTCGTAATTCGTACCGACGTACAAGTACAAATTTCGGTACGAACTTCCAAGCATTAACTTTGATAATTAAATAAATTCTCAAGTTACTCAAATAAAAATAAAATTTAAAATACATGTCGCAAGTTCAAAAACTTATAACTTAATCCTATTGAAAAGGGTTGTCGGTCCAAACCGAAACGAAAACCCGAAGATTTTCGGTTCGGTTTCGGTTAACCGAAGAATTGGGTGAAACCGACAACCCTACTAATAATCAATAAAATAATCAAAAAATTTCAAAACAAACCCTTCTATCATTTTTCAACAATAAATCATTTGCCAAAAGTCCAGTTCTCATTATACCACGTAACAAACGATTTGAAGAATTTATGTTAGTTCCAGAAACAGAATTAGCAACGTGTTGTTCTTCAATAATTCGAGAAACATTAAATAAAGTATCTTCTATCAGTAAAACTAATTGTTCAATTGAATTCTTTTGTACTTTGTTGAGGCTTATTTGATCCAATTTCTCAACCATATGTTCATCATTTTCACTTCCAAAAGGATTAACAGTATCCACAAAAACTTCACTAAAAACAAAAAAAAATTTAGAATGAAAAAAGTAAAGTTTTAAAAGGAGCAAACATAGATAATTAATTATCAGATCATGTTAGAGACAAAATTAAAATAACTTTAAAAAAAGTAATGTATCAGATGTTAAGGTTTTGTGTCAAAAGGCCGTTTAGAATTTTAATATAAAATATTCCAAAATTATAAAATCCTATTAAGTGACAAAGGCGTAGCCAGGAGGCCGATTTCAGGAGGGGTTTTGTACACATATTTTTATTTTTCAGCGCTGGCAAAAATTTTGAGAATTTTGGGGGTTGTAGTAATTCATTTTTCTAATCATTTCCCTCCTAAAATTTTTTCATTTTCCCAATTTTAGGGGAGCGGGGGGGGGGGTGGTAAAAAATTCAGAGAATAGAAAGTTGAAAAAATAGATAAAAACTAAAAATTATTCCAAACCTGATATCTTTCCTTTTCTTTGGACCAACATTTTTCGGAGGAACAGACTGAATACCCTCAACAACGGGAATTGGTTTATTCTCTCTAATTAATCCTTTTATCACCTTTAAATTTGAAATATTCTTTTTAATTTAATATTTTAAAGACCTTTTGGTGTTTTTGCCCATTAACGTGGGTTTGATAAATTTCTTCACTAGAACAATCGACATTGCAAATGACACAACGAAAAGCATTTCTATTGTTAGTAGTAAACTTGTTTTGAGCAGCTTCGATTAAAACAGCTTGTTTACGTTTGTGAATTTTTCCAGCTAAATTTTAGAAATTAAGCAATAATTAGAATTTTGATTTACATTTCAGTTGACTCTCTTATATTCTGGGATTTAGATCTTGTCCCTGACTTTCTTAAATAGGTTTTAAGATCCCCTTCCCAATTAATATTCTTTTCGAAAACAATTATTCCAGGCATTATAATTTTAGTAACGTATAATGCCAGGTGGAAGGTAAGGATGGCGGTTCCTGGGAAATTTCCGGATATCCGGAACCGATATCCAAACTATTTCGGATCCGGCATCCGAACCGGAAATTTCCGGATATCCGGGTTTTTCGGTTCCGGTTACCCGGAACCGCCAACCTTAGTGGAAGGCCTCTAAAAAAGATTATCCGAAAGAACCCCAATTTCATATAAAAAACTCACACAAATGTGCAAAATAATTATCATATCCAGAGCACATAACATTACAAATTTCACAATGATAGTGTTTTTGTTTTCCATCATCTTCATAATACTCTTCTTCACCATAACCCTCATAATAATCATAATAACCATCATATCCTTGATAAGCATTGTAATCCGCTAAAGTTGGTTCTTGACTAATTCCTTGAGTACTCCCAGTATCGGAAATTGAAGGAAGAGTATTATTACAATATTGATAAGACGTTGTTGGAGATGTAACCACATTGTAATAAGTAGACTGATTATTTGTAGTGGCAATTGTATTGCTGGTTGAGTTAGTAGCAGGCAATGGAGGTTGAGGTGGCGGTGGGGGCGGTTGATAATGAAGGTAATTACCTCCTTGGTAAGTCGGATTCATTTTTTAAAATCAAAATCAGTTAGCAAAATTTAAATTTTCTAAAGAATTGAAAAGACAAAAGAAAAGCAAAAATAAAAGTATTAAGCGATATTATAAAAGAACACATAGAAGATCAAAGAAAAAAATTTTTAAAAATCAATTTATTAAAAACACAAAAGTTTTAAATTACAAAAAAGACTTCTCTCAATTTTTTCCATTGGAAACTTTCTTCATTAAATTATTCAATTCTTCTATATTCGACTTAATAGCCTGTTTATCAGCATTCATTACTTGTGTAAAATCATGCAACATATTTGGTAAAGTTAACGTTGGTCCACTGAAAAATTTGAGATATTTCAAGAAATTTAAAATTTTTGACACTTAAAGTTCAAAATATTTTATACCTTATTCCGGCGTGTATAGGAACAGAAACTATAGCAGAACCAGCATTAGTATTGTATAATTTTCCTTGTTGTCTATTTACTTCCAATATCAACTTCTTTAAAAAAAGATTTCAAAAAAAATATTTAAATTAAAAAATAACCATATTATTTTCTATATTGTCACAAACATTCATAAAACTATTTTTAGCCATATCATATTGCTCCTTTGCTGATAATTCAATTTCCTTTTTCCCAAATTCATCAGTAGCAGAACCCGACTTGACTGACCCAGGCGGAATTGCACTAACAGATTGAGGATTAACAGAAAGAGGGTTTTGGACAGAATGTGGATTGACTGAATTTGGTCCTCCAAAGCCTAAATTTGAATGAGGACCAGTTGAATGAGGCCCTCCTATGCCTAAATTGGAATGAGGACCACCAGTTGTTGAAGCACCAATAATATTTGATCGTCTCTCCTCTGGACGCTCACCAGTTGCTGTTGGAACACCAGTGGATTCAGAAAGAAAGTTTTCAACAACTTTTTCTGCACACAAGTTTAAATCCTTAATTTTGAGACATTTAAATTATTTTAAATTAAAAGGCTTACAACAATAGTTCTTCTCAAATCCTTCAAAATTAACATCTTGGAAGTTGCAATTGGGTCAATATCCGGTTGCACAACAGCTGGGGGCTGTGTTGAAGTTGACGGCTGTTTGCTTGGAGATGCATTTGTCGACTGAGCAACGGCCGGGGTACCAACCTGCATCGGTATTGAAGAAGGTGGGCCAACGGAACCTTGAGGTACTGAACCTGAAAATAATGTGTAAACAATAATTTCAGTTAAATGACCAGGTTGATGCGTATGAAATGTTGCTGTGGTGGCTGTTGAGCCAGTAGAATGAGGCTGCGGAATTTGTTGAGGCGTGGAAGGAGTATTTGGCGCTGGAGCATCAGATAAGGGATGAGACATTTGCTGCGATTGTGGTTGGTGTTGCAATAAATGTTGACTTCCATAAATTGCATGTTGTTGTCCAACACTTACATGCTGTTGAGGACTAAAGGGAACTGAACCAGCAGAACCCGGATAAGAATAAACACTGCCTAATTGAGGAGATCGTCCAGTGTTGAACACCCCTGGCTTGTCAAGAACTTGTTGACCATGAAGGGATTGAGCAGGCGAATGTGCCGCGACATTTGGAGACATTTGAGGATGAGCAGCAAGGTTTGGCCTCTAAACAGAATAGATTATGTAAAATTAAACAAGACAACAAAAAAGCCTACCACAATTCGTGCAGCTGCACCATGTTGTAAAGGATTCGTTTGTTGTTGGTTATACATATCCTAACAAATATTTAAAAATCTAACTTAACATAAAATAAAATAAAAATTCGAAGAAACGCATAGTTAAATTAAAATTTATTTGCAAAGTTTATTATCTATAAATCAATGACATTCTACAAATTAACCGGCATAAATAAAAGAGATTGCCAACAATTAAAGACTAACAACTAAAATATTGTCATTTATTAAAGCTTCTATAATTCTCAAGGCTTTCGATAATTCTGCCCAGCGTAGACAGCCCCATCACCAAGCTCATCTTCAATGACCATGATACGATTGTATTTGGCCAAACGCTCAGAACGACAAGGAGCACCAGTTTTGATCTATAATAAAATCCGAAGAAAATTATCGAAATAAAAAATAAAAACCTGTCCAGTAGCAAGGCCAACAACCAAATCCGCAATGAATGTATCCTCAGTTTCTCCAGAACGGTGAGAAACCATAACACCCCAGCCATTGCTACGAGCCAAAGTCGCGGCTTCGATTGATTCGGTAACAGTTCCAATTTGATTGACCTAGATAGAAATTTTTAGAAAAAACTTGATAGAAGTTGAAACCTTCAAAAGAAGACAATTACACGCTTTCTTCTCAACAGCTTGCTTGATTCTCTTTGGATTTGTCACAGTAAGATCATCGCCCACTAATTGAATGTCAGTTTGCGAAAGCAGCTTACTCCAATTGTCCCAATCATCCTGATCAAAAGCATCCTCAATCGACTTGACGTTGTATTTAGCAATGAACGATTTATAAACATCTGCCAATTGATCCCCAGTTAACCACTTGGTTTGATCGGAATTGGGACTAAAACAAAGAAAGATATAAATTTTAAAAACGATAAATTACTTTTTAAAGTCAAGGTCGTATTTCTTCGCGTCAGATTTGTAGAACTCGCTAGCAGCGACATCCATACCAATTATCACCTTTAAATATAAAATGGATTTGACTGAATATGGGGATGTTTATTTACCTTGTCAGCAAGTCCACTAGCCTTAAAAGCTTCAAGAAGCAAATCCAGCCCCTCATTATTGTCAAGAATGTTTGGAGCAAATCCTCCCTCATCACCAACGGCAGTTGCATCAAGGCCATAACGTTTATGAATAACCTAATAAAAGAATAGCTAAAATAAGAACCAAATTTTAACCTTCTTCAAGTGATGATATATCTCAGAACCAATTTGCATTGCCTCCTTGAAGTTTTTAGCACCGACGGGGAGAACCATAAACTCCTGCATTGCCAACTTATTTCCAGCGTGAGAACCACCATTAATCATATTGAAAGCCGGAACAGGAAGAATAACCTTTAAAGGATTAAATCAAAATAACTATACAAAAATATCTCACCTTTTGAATGCCAGCCAACTCAGCAATGTATTTGTAGAGAGGAACTCCTTTGTGAACAGCGCCTGCCTTGCAAACCGCAAGTGAAACTCCCAAAATGGCGTTCGCACCAAAATTTCCTAAAATTAAAATTTTTGTAAAACCAAAAAGTCAAAAATACCTTTATTGTCGGTTCCGTCAAGCTCAATCAAAAACTTGTCAATAGCAGCTTGATCCGTGACATTAAAGTTCTTAGCGATGAGCGCTGGCGCTATCTTAGAATTGACGTTGTCAACAGCTTTAAGCACTCCCTTCCCATGATGGACAGTCTTGTCCCCATCACGAAGCTCAAGCGCCTCATAGATGCCAGTCGAAGCTCCACTAGGAACAGCAGCTTGGAAAAGTCCTTTAAATTAAAATTTAAAAATTCGCTCAAAAAGATAAAACCTTTATCTGTCTCTAAATCAACCGCAACAGTTGGATTACCACGAGAATCGTAAATATAACGAGCGTGGACGCGTTTAATGCTCATTTTAAAGAAAAGTTTATTAAAGTCTAAATTAATGAATCATACGTTAACACAAGTTAAAAACGTTTGATAGACACTTGATAAGATATTTAGAAAAATGTTGAAATTTAAAGTTAATTAGCAATCATAAAGATACAAAAGCCTAGCTAAAACAAATTTAACAAACATTTATGTCGAGGACAAACGCGTTTAAGGAGTTCTCTGAATCAAAGAAAATAAATCGAATAACGCAAGGAAACACTTTAGAAAAATAACCAACAAATAAAAATATTATTGAAAGCTTGCAATAAAAATCAAAATCAGCCCACTAACGAAAGCAAAAAATAAACTCTCATTCCAAAATTGTTTTTTTCTCTAACCTCTCGTTTTTACCTCTTTTCTCGCAAAATAGACAATTCGCCAATATTGCAAATTTTGGCAAATTACAAATAAAGTGGAAAATGAAACATGAGAGGTTTTCTCAGAAATCACCCTAATAAACACAAACAAAATCTTCTTTAAACATAAAACCCTTTTATTAAATTCAATATGTAACGAATACAATTTCATAAATCTATGAATTAGAACAATAATCAAAATTAAATCAGTTTATGGTATGTCATTGACATCAATCATTCTGTTACTTCTCACATCAATATGAAGACGAGTCTACTTTGCCTGCTTCTCTAATTGTTCGAGTGCTCTCTTCGCCTAAGATATTCATTTGAACAAGCATCTGTCGAAGGTAATCAGTTAGTTCAGAAGCCTGAAATTTTTTAGATTTTTTTGGTTTAAAAAATTCTTCAAAAACTCACAGCATGATTTTTGCAGAAAAGAATCCCTTCTCTTAGCAGCTTCATTCTCTTTCTAAAATCCTTCTCCTTTTTGCTTTCTCTGGTTTTTTCGATTTCTTTCAATTTTACAACACCGGCACGCTTCATTTCAGTCTCTAATTGTGTCTTCCTTTTGCCAATGTCGGACATTTCCTGTTTGAACTGCTTCCTGCTCTCACTGTACCAACATTTCAGTTGGACAATCACATGGCTTCGAGCATTAACAACAAAATCTTTGTTGTGTTTCCCAATATCCTCGATTGTTTGTGCTGAGGTGTTCAATTCTGTTGCGAGTTCCTCGTCCTTTTCGGCAAAGTTGGCGGCGTATTCTCTTAGATGATTGCTTAAAGCAAAATGAGGTCCAACTCCACTCGCAGCCTTCTTCAAGAAAACATCATAGACCTCAACCAGCTTGCCGATTGCCCTTCTCATGGTGTTGAAATCTTCAATAAACTTCCTGTAGAGTTCATCAACCTCTTTGGTCGGTACCTCCTGTTTGCTACCTAAAATTTAAAAACGCGAATTGAGCGAAGTAAAAAATAAAAATACTTCGGCACGTACCTCGACACATCGGGCCAAATTAAATATCGTCACGTAGAAGCGAGTAGAGTAGAAATATGTTAAGTTGAAGTGGGGGAGATTAACGATTTTTATTTAATGGCTTTTATACTGCCTGGTCTGAATTATTTTTTTGCAGATCTTTAGAGCTAAATATTTTATTTATGTGGAAGGATCGAGGCAAAAATGTTATTTCATCAATTAAAAAACTTATTGACAATTATGACCTTTATTCCAGAGAGGCTTTTTCAATTGCATTGGAGAAGTTGATACGAGATAAGCTGCTCCATGTCGGTAAATGTGCTAATTAATTTTTGACTTATAATTAAATTCAGGAGTGAATACTCACGACATTCTTCAGGCATATGCAACAATAATTGAATGTCTATCACAGTATGATCCATCATTTGTTTTGGTGCATAGAATATGTAGAATTATCAGAGATTATGTTAAGTTAGTTTTTTTATTTTACAGTTTTTGATTTTAGTGTAATAGTGTAGTTCTCGGTCCCCCTTTTTCCTCACAAAATTTTTTCCTATAATTTATTCAAAATGGGAAGTCTTCCATCACAATTGCCTTACTATATTTTGCCTAAAAACAATCAAGAATGATTATTTTCTTCAGTTCTTTAGAAAGAAAGGCGATGGAAGAAGGAAGACTTCCCATTTTGTACGAATTTTAGGAAAAAATTTGGTGAGGAAAAAAGTGGGAAAGGAAACGACACTATTACCGATTTTAGTTGTGAATTCGGAAACTGTTTTTTTTATAGTTTTAATATACAGAAAAATCCACATCTCTAATAATTAAATTGAAAATTTAATTTTTAGACAAAGACCTGATACTATGCGGACAATAATTACATTTATTGCCATCGAGAAGCCTGGAGATAATTGTTTAACCTCAGATATTGCTGTAACTAATGCTAGTCGTTTAACGCTTATGTTAGAGGAAGAGCAACTCAACGGGTTTATTTTAATTTTAAGAAAAATTTTTACTGCTAAATTTTAAGATTAAACGATGAATATGTAATTATGATGTGTGACAACAGAGAAAATCGTTGGATGGATTGGATACCGGATCCAATTGATGCTGATCCAAGTAATTAACTTTAAATTTTTTTAACGTTTGATTCTCGTATTTTAGAAGAAAGCAGACTTTTCCGAGAATCCGCAGATGTTTTTAATATGTTGGTCAGTATTTACGGAAGCAAGGATCTTTTTGTTAAAGAATATCAAAATTTATTGGCAGAAAGGTTGTTATCTAATGGTTGGGAAAGACATATACATTCAGAATTTACTTATTTGGAAACAATGAAAAGAAGATTTACAGAAGGGGAGTTGAATCAATGTGAGGTCTGTTTTCAATATTTTTATTTTTACATTGAGTCTCTTTAGGTAATGATAAGGGACATTCGCGATTCTTGGAAATTGGCTAGATTTGCTGCCTCTTCCCTTCCATTCCCAGTGAGCCCTCGAATTGTTTCTTTTGTTTATTGGCCAGAAATTCAATCAAACGACCTCGACAGCAATTTTCCATTTCATCCTCACTCAATTTTCAAAGATGCACTTGATAATTACGAAAAGGTTTACAGTCAACACAAAGCTGCTCGAAGTATTACTTGGCATTCTGATTTTGGAAGTCTAGTCGAATTGGAATTGGAAATCGATGGAAAAACTTTGGATATTGAATTACCTCTTCCTCAGGCTCAAATTCTTTTTTTGTTTGCAGAAAAAGGTTTTTTAATTTTAAAATTTGTTTAGCAATCTTTTTTAAAGAAAAATGGATTATCTCAGAATTAGCAGAAAAAAGTGGTATAAATTCTACACAATTAAAAAAGAGATTGGAATGGCTATGTTCAAAAGGTTTAATATTTCAAGGAGGTTTGGATGAAATTACGCTCGAGGAGACTTTTTGTCTTACTTTTTCCCCGTCTTCTATTCAGATTATGGAGAAAAGAGTACTAGCATTATTTTAATAGAATATTTTTTAAATTCTAGGATGAAGCTGTTATGTTAGATGATTTTAGCGATGATGAAGAAGAGGAGCAAAATTCAGTTGAAGATGTAGTTGAAGAATTGGAGCAATATTGGAATTACACAAAAAATCTGGTTAGTTGATTTTAAAAGGGTCGTTTTTGGGAAGTAGTTGGCACTAGCATCATAAAAGTTGAGTAGAGTAACTTAAAAAGGCTTTGGAGATTCTTGAGGGTTTTTGCGAGGACGGGGTTTTTTCAACGTAATCCATTTCTACCTGCTGTTGTTGTTTACGAGAATTTTAGAGGAAATAACTCAAAAAATCCATAACGACGGGGGAATCATTCTAATTTAATTTTAAACCTAAAAATATTTACAGTTAATATATCGAACAACAAACGAACCTTTAACAGCTCAATATTTGCATAGAATGTTTAAAAACTTTACTAGCCCAGGAAAAACAATTCCTTCATTAGATGCAGTTCAAATGTTTATGCACAGAAAAGTTCGTCAAAATTTGGTAATTATTGAGAATGGGGTTTATAAGGCAACAAAGGATCTCAAATAAAAGTTTGACTGATTATTTTTTATAAAAAGTTTTTTATAATAAAAATTTATTTTTTTCATTCTTTTTTCTTTTTAAATTGTTGATAGAACATGTTATTTTTAAATATTTTTTATTTTTAAATTTTTATTTTATTTTGATGTTTATTGGGTGAATTATGCAGCAAAAGAAGAGTGAAAACGAAGATAACGAGAGGAGTCTTTCAATAATTGAATCGGTTGGGATTTTAAATTTTCTTTTAAAAATTATTTTAAAATTTAAAAGGTTTCAAAAGCTTTAACGCGGAGAAGTTGTTGGACAGACAAAGATGAATTGTTGGATGTTGTTTATTGGGGAAGGCAGATTTTGTCACTTGTTATTGGCTTGTTGTGGGGGTTAATCCCTTTAAAAGGTTTTGTGGCGCTTGTTCTTTACATTGGAACTTCAACGATTCTTGGTAATTAATGGTTTAATTGGGCTACTTTTATGGGGGTTACTAGGAAAGTTTTCGGACTAAATTGAAGTACTACTATTTTCGCTTCCTCTAAAAACGGTTAATAAGGATATGGCTTTCGGGTCAAAAAATCATTCTACGGAAAATCTTGGGCGAGGCTTAATTAAATTCAATTTTTAGGTCATCTTTACTTGACGTGGTACCAAGAGGTTGTTTTAAGCTTTATAACATTTTGTAGATTTTAAAAAATTCCAGAAAGATGATGAAGATTTCGGTGGTTTCTGGGAAGTTGCGAAAGAAGGTTTTGGTGCAGCCTTTGCCACTTTTATGGTCTCCTGGGTAACTGCATATTCGGCCAGTCAATTTGAATAGATTTCTATACATATCGATTGTATTTTTATCCTTTTTTTGTTCTCAGATTTTGTTAGTTTATTGTTCCCAATATATTGATAAACTTCAATTTAGTGAAAAAGTGGGATTTTATGGGGGAAATGCCTAGACCAAAGCTGATTTGTAGATTTAGATATAGGATAATATTTTCTATAAAAAAGGGTAAATTAAAAATTAGAGATAAAAATGAGAGAGTGACAAAAAAATCAGTAAAAGGCCCTCAACAATTTTTTCTGACCTGCATCCCAGAAATAAGGTGTATAAAAGTGACT